CACCTTCTCAGCGCCTCCAAAAGATTTCTCCAGGATCTCCCAAGCTTCTTTTGCAGATTCTGAATCACTAATCTTTTCGAAGTTGTCTGGGCTGACACATTGATGAATTATAAACAATGCTTTATAACTCTGTTTCTCAGATTCTGTGTATTTCTTCTTTTCTTCTTCTGAAGCGTTTTCGCCAAGCGCTTCGACTCCATCTTTTACAAGGTCCCAAAGGCCTTGACACCTTAATAGGACTTTCATCTGCTTGCACCAATTCTCATAGTTGTCAACTTTCAGAATTGGCAGCGTTGCTGGATAGTTTGCATTCCCATAACTTGTCATCGTGAATTCTTCAATCGTTCTTGATTGATACTTCCCTTGAATTGTAACACAAGCTCTGATACCAGATGTTGGAAATCCACCAATACTCTATGATGAATTTCGACCACCACTGATGATTAATTATGACAAACAAATAAAAGAATAATGGAGATATTTCTGCAGAGTTTCTATTCTGCCCACAAACTGTGAAATCTTTATTAATTCACTTTGCAACTGCAAAATACTGTGAATGAGTTGATTACAAAATAAGGGTTACTCCCTCTATTTATAGATTTAGGTTAGCTTGCTCCCTAAGCTAAACCCAAGCCCAAAATATCAAATCTAATCTAGATTTAAATTCAAATCTATTTAAATCTAAACAAATCAAATCTTCTTTTTGACACATATGAATTATAATTTAACATTGAATAGTGGAACTGTTGTCACATAAAATCACAGTTTCTTCCTTTTCTTCAGCTCTAAGTTGCTCCATGATTCTTCTAATCCAAATACACTGACAAGCACAAAGTGCTGCAGCAATATATTCCGCCTCAGTGGTGGATAGGCTCACAACAGGTTGTTTTTTCGAAGCCCATGAAATAGCTCCAGACCCCATCATAAACACTAAACCAGAAGTGCTTCTTCGATCATTTAAATCTCCTGCGTAATTGCTGTCAGAATAAGCTACAAGACCTGTTTTTCTTCCTTCATTCTTGTAGAATATCCCGTGCTCCGCGGTTCCTTTTAGATATCTTAAGAGTCTTTTTGTTGCAGCCCAATGTGATTCTTTTGGATTCGCCATGAACCTGCTCATCAAACTCACTCCAAACATCAAATCCGGTCGAGTTACTGTTAGATACATGAGACTTCCAATGACTTGTTTGAACATTGTAGCATCTACTTTAGTGCCATCCTCATCTTTTGATAAATTTGTTCCTGAAACAATTGGATTTCTTACTGAGTTGCTGCTTCCCATGTTGAACCTTGCTAGAACTTTTTGAGCATATCTTCTTTGACAAATAAAAATCCCAGCTTCACATTGTATCACTTCTATTCCAAGAAAATGTCTCATCTTTCCCAAGTCAGTCATGTCAAAATCTAATTTCAACGACTTTTTAAATTCATCACACATGCTTCTATTATTTCCCGTAAAAATCAAATCATCAACATAAAGGCTAACTATCAAAATGTTACCTTCCTTTCTCTTGGTGAACAAAGTGTGTTCACTGGAGCACCTTTCAAATTTCTCTTTTGCAAAATATGCCTCAATTTTGCTGTACCAACTGTACCAAGCTCTCGGTGCTTGTTTAAGGCCATATAATGCTTTCTTCAACCTGTAAACTTTGTCTTCTTCTCCTTTCTTGACAAATCCTTCAGGCTGCTGTACAAATACTTCCTCCTTGAGCTCACCGTGAAGAAAAACGTTTTTTACGTCAAATTGATATACTTCCCATCCACGTTGAGCTGCCAAAGCTAATAGTACCCGCACGGTGTCAAGTCTTGCGACTGGTGCAAATACTTCCGTATAATCCACTCCATACCGTTGTGCGTATCCTTTTGCTACCAATCTTGCCTTAAACTTTTCAATTTTTCCACTTTCATTGAGCTTGGTTTTGAAAATCCATTTAACTCCAATAGGCTTAACTCCTTTTGGTGCATCAGTTAGTTCCCATGTCTTGTTATTTTCTATTGCCTTCATCTCTGTGTTCATTGCTTCTCTCCACTTCCTGCTCTTGAATGCTTCTTCAAAGAGGTAAGGATCGCTTCCATTTTCAGCCATCATCATCACCATTAAGCTTTCTTCTTCCTCAGAAAGATTTGTTCCCTCTTCATAATCTGCCATCCAAACTGGTTTTCTTCTATCTTGCTGCCCTCTCTAAAAAATCCTGTTCAACTTCATTTGTTTCATTTGCCGGTGACCCGATCTCGTTTAAACTGCTTGAGGATGCATCTTGATTGATATCACCATCATTTTGTGCAGACCCTTGGTCTTCACTTCCTTCTTCGTTTTCTTCCTCTTCCCAATCTAGAACATCAACTTTGCATTCTTCTTCAGTTCTTCCCCAGTCCCGGCTCTTGTCTTCTTCAAACACTACATCTCTGTTCACAATGACTTTCTTTGCAAAAGGATCAAATAACTTGTAAGCTTTAGACTCATCACTAACTCCCAAAAATACACACCTTTTGCTTTTGTCGTCTAGCTTGCTTCTCTTTTGGTCCGGTACATGAGCATGCGCTACGCATCCAAAAATTCGAAAATGGTCAACTCTTGGTTTTACACCACTCCATGCTTCTTCAGGGGTTTTGTGATCGACTGCTGAAGTTGGACTTCTATTCTGCACGTGAACACACCATCTAACTGCTTCAGGCCAAAATACTCTTGGAACTTGTCTCTCATTCAGTACAGCTCTTACTGCATTCATGATCGTCCTGTTTTTTCTCTCGGCGACTCCGTTTTGTTTGAGGAGTATATGCAGTCATCAATTGCCTACAAATACCTTGATCCTTACAGAATTCTTCAAACTCATTAGAGGTAAATTCACCACCTCGACCAGTCCTTAAACAAGTGATAAATGCACCCACTTCTTTCTCAACATATGCCTTGAAATTTTTGAATCTACCAAATGCTTCTGATTTTTCATGTAATAAATAAATCCAAGCTTTACGAGTAAAGTCATCAATAAAGCTTAACACATATCTCTTGTTACTATTTGAAGATGGCGTGATCGGACCACAAATATCAGCATGAACTAGCTGAAGCTTTTTCGAGGCCCTCCAGAAGGTTTTCTTTGGTATCGACTCTCTATGTTGTTTTCCAATTAGGCATGTAGTGCATATCTTCTTTGGAGACTTCTGGGAAGGTAATCCAATGACCATCTTCTTGCCTGAGAGTGTATTGAGCCCCTTGTAGTTAAGGTGTCCAAAGCGACAATGCCACAATTGAGTTTCTTTCTCCGACACCATTTCAGCTTGTAGACACATGGGATTTTTGTTTGGTGCTGCAGAAGCTGTCAAATAGAACATCCTATTTCCCCTCATAATTAATCCTTTATCCGGATGAAATACTTTGCAAGTGCCATTTCGAATTAAAATTGCCAATCCCTTTTCTTGGAGTTGTCCTAAACTTAGCAAATTGTTCTTAAGCTCAGGAACAAAGTAAACATCGGATATTACCTGAGTAACGCCATTCATTTGCACACGTATGCTTCCTTTTGCCACAACATTCATTGTTGTATCATTTCCAAGCTTCACAATTCTGCAAAATCCTTCCTCCAATTCTAAAAACCATTTTTTGTTTCCCGTCATATGATTGCTGCAGCCGGAGTCTAAGAATCAAGCTTCTTCTTGTGTGGGTTGACGCATCTCTTCATATGCCATTAATAAGAGTTCTTCTTCTTTCTCCAGCTCCGCATAATTTGCCTTCTTCTCCTAGTCAGGGCACTCATACTGAAAGTGACCCAACTTGTGACATTTAAAGCACTCAACAATTGCTTTGTTTAGAGATAATCTTCCTCTTCCTCTGCCACGTCCTCCTCTGAATACGCCTCTACCTCGTCTGCCTCTAATTGGTCTATCATCACTGGTTATTTTCAATACATGTTCTTCTGTTTGAAACCCCTACATTCTTTGCTCATGAACAAGGAGGATGCCATGCAGTTCATCAATACTCAAGGTATTCAAATCATTTGATTCCTCTATTGAGCACACAACATAATTGAACTTAGAGGTCAAAGATCTGAGTATCTTGCTAACCACCGTACTTTGCTCCATTGTTTAACCATTTGATTTCATCTTGTTTACCACATGAAGAGTCCGTCCCAAAAAGCTATCGACCTTCTCGCCTTCTTTCATGGTCAATAGCTCGAATTCTCTTCTCAATGCTTGAAGTTGTGCTCTTTTCACCTTTGTGGATCCTTGATACTTCTGCTGCATGGACCTCCATATTTCCCTTGAAGTTCCCTTGTCAAGAATCGTTTCCAGAATTTCTCTGTCAATGGCTTGAAACAGAAAATTTTTGACCTTCAAATCTTTAAGTTTGGCCTCTTCCACACCCTTCCTCTGCGCTTCACTTGTTGCTGCTGTTCCAATTGCTGGTGTCGGGATCCCTTCTTCTACGAGGTTCCACATCTCTTTACTTCATAGAAAATTCTCCATCGTCATTGCCCAAAAATCATAATGACCATCGAATCTTGGAATGACCGGTTGTACGAACTTTTCAGATGTAGACATGTTGATCCTTTGGCCTTTCTTCTCTCACACACACACACACACTTTAGTCCCTTAGTGTTTCCCCTCTCACACACTCACACACACGTTAATCCCTTAGTGTTTTCCTTCTCACACACTCACACTCCCCAAACAATCTCAGGCCCCCTGTGGAGCTCTGATGCCAATTGTTAGAACTGGAAATAATAAAAGTACTGAGAGTGAGAAAACTATTGTTTTATTAGAAAGTGAAAGCAGACTTATATAGCCTTTACTACAGGAACTAGTCAAAAGTCAGCAGTACATTGCAATAAAATAGAAATAACAGAAACTGATCCTAAAATATAGGAATTCCTCCTAAAGAATCTAACTTCCCTTAAGACTAGGATTTATTAGTAAAAACGTGAACTGAATAAAAAAACAAATAGACTTTGACTAACAATATATTGCTATATTTTTCATGAGCTTTTCCCTTGGCTTCTTCGCAGAGAAGAAGAAAAAGGAGAACATGCAAAAGACGAGTTCATGCTCATGCACTATCCTATAGATTAGAAATCACACCTTGTGGTTCCCTTGGAGGATGATGGGTAGGCAGTGAACTATCCAATGGTATTGCGTCAAGCCATTTATGGCTTTGTCAAATCGTTATTGCTTGCTTCTATTAATGTCAAATATTCATCTAGTTTGTCTTCAGAATGAAATCAGATATCAACATTGTAATATCTGACTTCAAAAAGTACAATAAGGGTGTTGCATGCCACAAACCGGGTGCGCGGTGGCTATATAACTTCAGTTCATGCAGCCCCGAGCATTTAACGAATGCATATTTGTTTGGAAGTAAATATTTTTAGGTAACTAAAATCTACCATCATTGTAATATTTGTTTGGAAGTGAATATACATATGATTTAGCTGGTTGCATTAAATGTATCCCCTCAATGTTTAATGACACCAAATGAGGGTGAATTGATAAAAACTGCTATCTATGAAGGAGGAACTTGTGGATATTCTTCCAAAACAAATTGTGTAATGTAAAATTCATTTAACTGCATCTTCAACCTAGATTTGTCAGGTTTATATAAACTTTTAGCCAAAATTACCTTTTTGAATAGTAAGATGATGTTATCAAAGTTTAGACTGACAATTAGAGTATGAGACTATTAGTCAATATATATATATATATATATATATATATATATATATATATATACATATGTATATACATATATATATATATATATACGTATATGTATATATATACATATGTATATATATATGTATATATATATGTATATGTATATATATATGTATATATATATATATATGTATATGTATATATATATATATATGTATATATATATATATATATATATATGTATATATATATATATATATATATATATATATATATATATATATATATATATATATATATATATATATATTAAATTACCTAATGATAATAGTTTCTGAAGTAACTTATGAACTACATTTCTACATCTTAGTTTAGCTTAAAATCTTTTATATAAATTTTCATATATATATATATTAAATTACCTAATGATAATAGTTTCTGAAGTAACTTATGAACTACATTTCTACATCTTAGTTTAGCTTAAAATCTTTTATATAAATTTTCTGTAAACATTTGTATGCTTATAGATTATTTCTAAGTTACAGACTACTGTATAAATTTAGTTGACAAGTTATCAAGAAGTTTCTCAATTAACTCTCCAAAACATGAGTTTCAGCATATGTGATGGATTGTGAAACCCCTAAATATGCAGAGTTAGAAACTTAATGGACCAAAACTAATAACAAATTGATGGTCAAATGGTCATTTAGCTTAGTTAATAAACAACTTCTTTTTAAGTTAGTTGATAAAGACCTTGGTAGTTGTAAAATCATGCAATCAAATAGTTGTATCTTAGTTTCAACTCGCGTGAGCCAATGTTTATATTTGTATCCGTATTTTCGGAGCATCTGAATACTCATACCCATATTCGTTTCCTTGTATTTCTAATAAAAAATTTAATCAATTATAATTTATTAAGTCATTTTAAATTTTTAGCAGCATTTTAAAAAAATTTAAAAATATTATTGTTAAGTTAAGAAATTTTAATGAGAGCAACTAAAATAGATGAAGTTATTTTAAGTGAGTCTAAATTGACATGTAGGATTTAAACAATTTAAAATTGATTTAAGTCGTAACACAATAATATATAAAAATTGTTTTTAATGTATTGACGTTAATAACGGAAAAAATATAGTATTAGAAAGTGAAATATTTGGAAAAAATTTAAATTGGTACTCAAATGTTTATAGAAAGAGAAAAAAATAATAGTAGTTTACATAAAAATGTTTTGTTGGATTAATTTATAAGAGTTTTTTTAGAATGTGTGATTGAGTCTAACTTGATTCAATAAAACTGACTTGTAAGGTGATGATTACTCTCACTTATAAACTCATGTTTAGGCTATATATTATCCGATGTGGAGACTCTTAACAAGTTTAAAAGAGATGCATTAAAAGTGTAAAAAAAAATTTATACTGTCATCTAATAAAATTATATTGTTTTGTTATGTCATAATTTTTTTTTTAATTACAATTTGATTTGGCGAGATTTCTAATCGTGATTAATTGACATTTAAAACTTTTTTATATTGTCACTATTTTCTGAATTAATAAACAGTCAACTCTTCAATTTAAAATTTAAATGATAAAAAAATCTAACATTTATGTCAAAGAATGAGTTAGAATACGTTGGTTGTATATAATACATAAACTAGTTTTAGAGCATCCATTATGTCAGGTAGAATATTATGTTGATAAAATATAAAAAACGTAAATTATAAAGAACCAAGACATTAGTTCACTAGCGCTAAAGATGCTCTAAGGGTGTGTTTGTTCCATGGTTGAAAATTTTATTTTTTGGAATGATATTTCTAAGATTATTATTCTTGAAAATATTATTCCAATCCATGTGTTTGGTAAAAATTTAGGTTTTTAAGAATAATTATAATTTTTTTTTAATTTTAAATTATAAAAAATAAAGAATAATAGTAAATAAGAGTGATAGTGGAAAGTTAGAGTTAGTTGAATTTATTCCCATGAGAATGTTTTATTCTCATCCTTTAAAACTTGAATCAAACATGAGAATATTGCATTCCCATTGTCACATTCCTAAGAATAATTTTTGTAACCTTGAAACAAACACACCCTAAGAAATTAATAAATATTTATATTCAAATACGTATAAGTTTAATAGTGATGTATTTAATAAAATTGATAAATATATTGTGTATATAATAATAAAAATAAGGTATATTTAGTCCCAACGTTCCTTGATCTAATGTTCCGCTTTAGTTTATCATTTAAAAAATGTTATAAGTTAGTCTCTTAATTTCACTTCGGTTATCTTATTTCTAGCAAAAAAAAAAAAAACGTTAAATTCTGGTGACGTGGATGTACAACATGGCTCAAAATTCAAATGTGACTGAATATTTGTACTATAAAGTAGGGTTTTCTCTTAAGTAGGTGTCATAAAGATGGTTACAATAAGGTTGCATTAACTGGACACCCTACTTTATATTACAATACTGAGTCACATTTGGTCCTCGAGTCTTAGTGTATATCAACGACACCAAAACTAACGTTTTTTTTCTAGAAATTGAGGAAGAGGTCAAATACAAATCAACCAATGCAAGGATGGAGTCGATGTTCATCAGATCAAATACACAAAGGAACTTCCGAAAAAGTTTAAGTTGGATAACTGAAAAATCATGACAACTCTCATGCATCCAACATGCAATCTGAGCAAAGAGGAAAACAACACCAAGATCTGTCAGTAGCTGTACAGAGGTATGATAAGTTCCTTACTTTATCTAACTGCTTCTAAACCTGATATTTTATTTACTGTGTGCTTGTGTGTTAGATTTCAATCAGATCTTAGGGAGACTCACTTAATTGTTGTTAAGATGATCTTTAGATATCTGAAGTGAACAACTAATCTAGGATTGCTTTATAAAGAATCTCTAGATTATAAGCTAGTTGGATTCTGTGATGTTGATTATGTTGGAGATAGAATTGAGAGAAAATTCACTAGTGGAAACTACCAATTCATATCTGAAAACCTTATATCCCGGCCTAGTAAGAGATAAGAAACCATTGTTTTGTCTACAGTAAAAACATAATACATCTCAACTGCTAGTTGTTGCACACAACTCCTCTGGATGAAATATCACTCGGAAGATTATCATATTTATGGTAGCAGTATTCTTATATTTTGTGATAATATTGCGGCTATTTGTCTGACAAAGAATCACGTTCAACATTTTAGAACCAAGCACATAGAAATCAAATATCATTTTATTAGAGATTATGTTCAGAAGAGTGTAATAGATATACAATTCATTGATACTAATCATTAATGGGCTAACATATTTACCAAGCCTCTTACTGTTGGAAGATTTGATTTTATTAAAAATAATACGAACATGCATTTTATAAAAGATTAGTGATGGTTTCTGAATGAAGGATTTGAGTCTGATGATTATCAGAAGCTACTGTGATAAGAAACTCTAAACTAGCTTCTGATGAAGAGTAGACTATGAAGCATCTTAATCTCTGATGTTAAGAATTTGATTAATTGTCTCTGATAGCATATAAGTGTTTTTTTTTTTAAATTGTGTATCTTTTGTCCACTTATGTGTCACTTATCTGAAAAGTCCTTTGATTTTTTGGTGTCTTATCTATTGGATTTACTTACGCCTCAGATTCTATTGTTTAAGCTCATACTCCGAGCTATATTAATATTGAGGATTATTATGTTCTCTGGTAAAATAAAATTTTGTCTTGCTACCCTTATGTCAAATTTTTCTCAAATGTTTTCACATTTGTTTGATTAATTTTTTTAAAAAATTGGCCGAAATATTTGAAAACTATTTTGAGACTTCTCTATTTGTGGTTCATTAAAAGGGAGTTTGTGACAAGAGAATAACATGCAATAATGAGAAAAAACTAGTTTTTATTAATCGTGAAAATTATTACATGATTTAGAATCAGATGACAATAGATGTGCTTCAAGAAGCCTAAACTCCCAGACATGGTCTTTGTCACATTCATAAGTCATGAGGAAAGACACGTACTCCTCACCATCATTTGAGTCAAACTCAAATTCTTCTACTAGATTCTTCTTCTCCGTGGGCTTCTTCATCTTTGGCTCTAAAGTTCTTCCCACCCTTGATGTTCCAACAATTGTGGTAGTCTGAGAGCTTGCATCTTCAGCATAATTGATCTTCTCTTCCTTCTCCTGGTTCTTCATGAGCTTGTTAATTTCTTTGGAAAAGTCTCTCTATAAATTCTTATATGGCTTTGTCTTACCCATATTGCTTGAAAAGAGAAGAGCTATATTGAAGGAAGAATATGCTTTTATTGGTATTGAAAATATGCTTATATAGGGATCGTGGGAAAAAGTTTAGTCTATCTTGGAATTTGTGCACCAATGGATATAAGAGAGAGAGGGAGAGAGATAGAGTCTTGGTCTTCA